GTATGGAAGTGAGAGCTGGACCATAAAGAAGGCTGATCGCCGAAGAATTGATGCTTTTGAATTATGGTGCTGGAGGAGACTCTTGAGAGTCCCATGGACTGCAAGAAGATTAAACCTCTCCATTCTTAAGGAAATCAGCCCTGAGTGCTCACAGGAAGGACAGATCCTGAAGCTGAGGCTCCAATACTTTGGCCACCTCATGAGAAGAGAAGACTCCCTGGAAAAGACCCTGATATTGGGAAAGATGGAGGGCACAAGGAGAAGGGGACGACAGAGGACGAGATGGTTGGACAGTGTTCTCGAAGCTACCAGCATGAGTTTGACCAAACTGCGGGAGGCAGTGGAAGACAGAAGTGCCTGGCGTGTTCTGGTCCATGGGGTCACGAAGAGTTGGACACGACTAAACGACTAAACAACAACAACAGTAACTTTGTGTGACCTTGTTCTCAAATCTGTGAGAAAATACTACAGTCATACCTCTTGTTACGTTAGCTTCAGGTTATGTCTTTTCAGGTTGCATCCCGCGGTGACCTGGAAGTACCGGAAAGGGTTACTTCCAGGTTTCGCCGCATGCACAGACGTGCAAAACGACGCCACACGCATGTGCAGAAGCGGCGAATCGCGACCCGCACGTGCGCAGACACGGGTTGCGTTCCCTTCAGGTTGTGAATGGGGCTCCGGAACGGATCCCATTCGCAGCCAGAGGTACAACTGTATTCCTCTTCATCAAGCCAACAGCCAAACACACACAACACACACACGGTGGGGGGGGGGAGATGAGGCATGGTAAAAATAAATAAATAGCAGGACTTCCAAATATTGTTTGACAGCCATGTACCTCAGGGTGAGGGAAATGTTTTAGATGGGGGACCACATTCCACATTCCACTTGGAAGGCCCCTTGAGGCTTTAAAGAGAGATACAGTGGTACCTCAGGTTAAGTACTTAATTCGTTCCGGAGGTCCGTACTTAACCTGAAACTGTTCATAACCTGAAGCACCACTTTAGCTAATGGGGCCTCCTGCTGCTGCTGTGCCGCCGGAGCATGATTTCTGTTCTCATCCTGAAGCAAAGTTCTTAACCTGAAGCACTATTTCTGGGTTAGCGGAGTCTGTAACCTGAAGCGTCTGTAACCTGAAGTGTATGTAACCCGAGGTACCACTGTACAAGCACTCGAAATAAAAATAAAAAACCCATTCTCAGCTAGGTGAGTGAGTGGTCTGACTCAGTGTGAAACCACTCATTGTATCCTACAATCAGCTGTACTCAGTTGTACCAAGGTGACGCCAGACTGTCCCTATTTTGCGGAAGGGATCCAAGTGCATACCAAAACGTCTGGTTCCTGCAATTCAAGTGGATTAAAATGCTCTGCCGCCCTAGTGCAACAAACCCATTTAAAAAGAACCTGAACTTTTTGGAGTTAGGAAAGGGGGGGGGGAATGCACTGAAAATTGTTGGAAGGACGAATGAAAGGCTTGCAAACACCAGCAAGCAAATCAGAATGAATGCTGGAGGAATGCTCATGGCCATATAAGTTCCCCTCAAACTAATCCAACTGAATGCTCAATAAAGATGAGACATAGTGTGACCACCACTAAGCTTTGCACAAACAAATGAGGTTGAATGCTCAATAAGTAGGTCTTCTGGAGGAACCCTCCCTTCCCCACTTTCGCAGGGAAGGGAAGCCACCAATTGCAAAGTTCCAATATGGGCAGCATCACTGCAGATGCTTTCCCCCTGAATATTTAACTCTTTCTTTACACTCATTCCTTCCTATAAATATTTCCACTTAGAAAGTGCCACAGCGGATTGCATATTCCATGGCAAATAAGTGGGCCCATCATGCCTTGTCATTTAGCCATTTTTTAAAGTGCAGAGGGAAACCTTCCAATCAATGTTTCGCCAGCACACTGAGCACATTTCTCGAAGCCAAATCCACTGCCGGTCTCTAAATCATTTAGTGCGCTCTGATGTTCGGCGACTCCTTGGAAGCAAAGGTGGAGGAAATCAGGCAGGCTGCTCTGATCACTTCTGAGAAACTGGGGGCAACTGCTCTGCTTTCCATGCAGCCTTGGAAGAGGCTTGCTTGCTGCTGATGATGTCAAGAATAATAGATTCCTATTACTCTTGGGATGAATGAAGTGCCTCTGGACACAACTCCCCAAATTCAAACATTTAACAGAGCATGTGTGGTCTGGTAGGGTGGCAGAGCTTCTGCTGGAAGGGAAGAGAGGGTCAAATCTGATATTCTGCTTGCGCCTCTGCTTCTATCCTCCTTCCAGACAAACAGTGAAGCAGAGCCCCATCCACTCCTCCTACAGGAAAACTTTGCTTTAGATGGCCCTAAAGTTGTATGGCTCCCCAGCAGTTTTTCAGAGCTCACTGGGAATCCCCTACACATGTGCACACTTCAAAAATTCTCAGAAGGGATAGGGCACATAGATGGAAGGCAAAATGCTTCTGGAAATATTTGCTGGGGGGGGGAAGCATAAATACTTGAGAGAAAGAATTGGCAAAAACCAGAGAGCACTTTCCATCAGAACTCATGGTCCAAATGAGTCACGTCGGTCATTGTTCTGAACCTGAGTTGATCAGAACAAACTTCTGCTGTAATGTTGGAGCCACAAACTCACAAACTCCTCTTCTCTTCCATACATAAACTGGGCGATTTCAAAAATCGCAGTCTTCCACTTTGGCGAAGAGCAAGATGCAATCTCACATTACTTGGTCTGATGTCATGCAAGTACACCACTCATGTGAGCAGAGTTTATGCATCTGAGAATTTATGTCCTATCTGGCTGATGTGTATGCATTAAGCAGGGCATCTTGGGGGAATCAGCCACCACTCAGGGCAATGTGGTTGCATACTGAGTTGTGTGCAGACCAATGCAGCTGTGCACCCTTTCTCTCTCTCTCTTCATATCACCACCCTGTTAAAGCAGAGAAGCAGCCTCACTTGTATAAATAAGATTTCTTCTGGCAAATGAAGACCATTTGTTTCGAAGTGAAGACAATTAAAATGCCCTGTTGTTTTGTTGTTCACCTAATATGAAACATTGCTTACTGCCTATGCAAGAACAACTGGGCGGGGTGGGGGAGGAACCCCTCTGTAGTCTAATATTGCTTAATGGATATGAAATGCTGCAATGCTTTTACAGAAAATGGAAAAGGAGCATCAGTAACAGAGAGGGGGTGGGTACTTTTCAAATGGCTTTTAAATGGTCAGCGGTGGACATTGATTGGGAAACCTGTCGATGGCATTACTTTGAGCGCCCATTAACAGTGTGTGGAACTAAATTTGGATTGTCCACAAGCTGCTCCGTGCCACAGATGGAAAGTGCCATGCAGTAACACATTAAAGGCCGCTCTACATTATAGCTTCAGGCAGAGCTATCAGCAGATGCAGACATCAAACTCCCAAATAGAAAGCTAGAATGCCCTGAAGCATGAGCCTGTTTGTTTTGTAAAGTCTCATTTGTTCATCTTTAGATATGTGATACTTCATCATATGCTCCAGCAATGTTTTCAGGGCTTCATCTGTAGGTGGGCATTTTTGAAATGAGCTGCAGTATTCTGTCACTACTGTTATTTTTCAACTTTAGGGGTGAGTGAGATTGGAATGGAGTACCTTGGAAAAGGGCATGGCTGGCAGGCAGGCTGGCTGACTGGCTAGAACCCAGAAGGGGAACCCCCAACACGACAACAACTCCTTGCAGGTCTCACTTGTACCATCATCCTTCTTAAAGTGCAGCATCTGGATAGCATTTGAAATGCTTCACATACATTCTCCAGTTGTAATCCTTACATGAAATAATGTAAAAAAAGACCCAAGAGCAGTAAAAGCAGGAGTGGTGGTGGACAAGAGTTTGGCTAAAGATAGGATGAAAGTGGATAGTTTGACTTCCTCTCTGGAAGTTTGGTAAAAAGAGCCAGCTCCTCTATCCCATTGGTAGCCAATGTAGCACCCTCTTCCAGATGTTTTGGACTACGAGGCCCATCACACAACTTCCTGACCATTGACAATGCTGCCTGAGGCTGATAGGAGTTACAATCCAAATCATCTGCATGGCCCCATGGTTTGCTACCCCTGATCTAAGGCTTCCATGGTTTTGAGCCTCAGTTGCTAGCCATTACCTGTCCTTCCCTGCTGTAAGCGTCAGGCACTGAGTGGTCACATGGAGCAAGGCAGCCTTGAAGGTGTGAGATCCCAAGCCATGCAAGACTTTTTATAGGGCACCACCAGCACCCTAAATTGTGTCGAAAGATGAAGTGCTAATCAAAGTAACAGCTAATCTAAGTAACAGCGGAACAGGTTGAATTCATACATGTCTCTCTCAGCCCTTGTTAGGAGACATGTGTTCCAGGGAGTTGGATTCCTTTGGGTCCTTTCCAACTCTGCAGTTCCATGTTGCCATGTGTTAGTCTTCTGCAGCTGTTGATGCTTTTGAGCCCTCTTCATACGATGGAAAGAGCCTGGCAAGACTGCTCCCCTGATGTTCAGGTGGCAGGCTAGGATCCCTGGACAACCCTGTCCCCACTTGGAGCAAACACATTGCATTGTGTGACTCCTCTGCAAAAATGCCCATGGGATTGGGATTTGGAGAGCTCTCAGGCATGGCACCTTCAGTGCATCCTTCCCAACCTTGTAGAATCTGCACATGGAAACCAAGATCTTCTTAGGTACTCTGTGCAAAGTGGACATGGTGGCATTGTTATGTAGGTCCTCTGCAGGTTCTGGAAAATGCCCAGCTTTGCACCTTCCTGGAACCAGCCCTATGTAGGACCTCAGAATCGATTTCCCTCTGGTGTCCACAAGCAGTGGGGTGGAGAAGCACAAGAGAGGTGCTGCTTTTCATGCCCCCCTTGGTGAGCTCATCTTGAACCCATAGTGCTGTAATTGTTTTTCAGTTTCTAACGCCCACCCCCTCGCCCAATAGAATTATTCAATCTAGTCATATTGTGCTGATACCCCAGGACTTAGAAGCTGCAGGATTCACTTACCAGGAGGCGAATCAGTCATAATTACTAATGATGCTGGCGTGGGCCTTCTTTTCCTGATCTGCGGAAAATATAGGTGCAAGCAGATTTATTAAATGATGGCCACATCCCTCAATCTAGAATACTAGCACAAACTGCCAGACTATTTGTACCTAACATAGGGAAGCCAAAAATCATTCAAACTATTGGGTTGCAGATGATCAAAAATAGAACACTTACCATGTCTGGTCATTCTTTCCATTTCTGAAAGCTAATACGCCCATTTTGAATTTGCATTGATGCAGTTACCAGCAAATTGCTAAGTTTTCCCCTCTTTATGCCTTTTTCCATTTGCTTCATTAGGCTGGATTTGAAATCTGTAAAGACTGCAATGGGCATGGTCCGATGACCAGGCTGCTTTAATCAAAAAGGATATAGGTCAAGGATCTCTAGAAGCAAATGAAAATCTGGAGTCTTGTGCTGCTTCCAGCACAGCCAGTTCCTCATCCCAAGTGTGCACCCCAGAATCCTCAGGAAATCCTAAGGTGCGCTTTCAGTTTGTGCTTCTGCCTCACCTATGGAACAACAAGGCTTGAGTCAGGCCTGTCCATTAAATCTCAGCCTAATGATAACAGACCTTCCAAGTGTCCCTATTTTCCAGGGACAGCCCCGGATTTACAGAAGCAGTCCCAGTTTCTGATTTGATCCCAGAATGTTCCGCCTTTCCTTAGGACGTCCCTATTTTCATCGGAGAAATGTTAGAGGGTATGGAGTTATGCAATGTCCGAGTCAAGGAGATAAGTAATGACACAACCTTTAGAAGACATCTGAAGGCAGTCCTGTATAGGGAAGTTTATTTAATGTTTAATGTTTTATTATGTTTTTATATATATTGGAAGCAGCCCAGACTGGCTGGGGAAACCCAGTCAGATGGGCAAGGTATGATGATGATCATGATGGAATAGGATGTCTCTATTTTCATCAGAGAAATGTTGGAGGATATGCAATAATGTCTGTTCCACAAACCCAAGCATTGATATTAGTACAATAGAAAATGTTGAAATATTTTATTTTATATTGAATGACCTAAAGCTCTTATATAATGGGACAAGATATGTACTTGGAGCTTATCCCTGGCAACAGTATACAGTTATAGGCATTTGGCACACAGAAATGCGATGTGAGGATTTTAAAACCCTGTTCCATGAGCACAACAGGGAGTGGGCACAAGAAGGTGTATCAGACTTTTCTTTGTCCCTCATCCTGTGTGACAAACTGTTTTTGATATGGAGGGATGTTTCAAAAGCAGTTTGCGATCGTGGCATGGGAGGTCCAGAGTTTTTTAAAAGGTGGCGGGGGGGGTCAGAATTCTACTGGTCAAGCATGAATCCCTTGCAACTTGGGATTCCAGCCTGCAATGACACTGGAACAGGGAACTAGCATGCTGTTCCACTAGCATCCGCATGGCCTCTTATCTTCAGCATTCCTTTGCAAGGATTGGCTATTAGTAGGTGAAGATAGTGCCTTATTTCATCATCTCTTCTGCTATCAGAGACCATTTGGGGATGCTTTACAGCAGGGTTTCCCAAACTTGGGTCTCCAGCTGTTTTGGGACTACATCTCCCATCATCCCTAGCTAGCAGGACCAGGGGGGATGACGGGAGTTGTAGTTCAAAAACAGGTGGAGACCCGAGTCTGAGAAATCCTGCTTTAGAGGAAACTCAGGCCCTTGGCCTACTTTCTTGCCTGCAGCCTGCAAAGATGGATGAATAGTAAGCACACACAGAGTGTTGGGGTGGCAAAGAGAGAATGCACTATATAAAATCCTGCCGTCACTGATTTTCGGCTTTTGGCTCCACCCAACGTTGCTTACAGCCACCAAATATATTTTCCCATGGGTCAGTAGGAAAAATTTCCCCACTTCTGCTATATGGGATGTGTACAGCACAGGGAGATGGCGCAGTAGTATATTGCCTAGGTTCTAGCAATATCCTTGTCCAGAAACAGTGAGATAAATCAAGCAATCATGGGATGAGATATTTAACATTTGTTAATGGAATTAAATGAAGGGCACAATCCTTTATCTGTAGCAGCCATGACCCACGTTGATTCAATGGGAAATGTCGCTCAGATAATGACTTCAGATTTTCACCTTCAGCACAATATAATATTCTCAATGTTATACATTAGTCATGATCACGAACAGCTACATTGTATTTTTTGGAAGGTCTTGCTCTTGATAATGTCTTTGCCAGTGATGAGGAGACAGCGCACTCTAAGCAGCCAGAGAGATGAACTTCATCAAACTGTCAATTCAATTCACTATTTCTTTATTTTCTAATGTTTTGCATCGTTACACTGGGCCAAAGGTCAGCTCAGAGAACAGCTTACTAGAATGATGTATTCCAAAATATAAGTAAATCCTCGCCTGTTCCCTCTGCACATGTACGCACGTGCATATACCCAGTGCTTTTCTCTATACAAAATAAATAAATGTTTAGGGGTACTCTCATTTTCCTGCTCATATTGAAATATTGTCCCTCAATGAGGCCAAGCTTAGGTTCACAAAATATGTAGGGGTATGCGTACCCCTGTGTCCCCCCAGGAAAAAAGCACTGCATATATCTAAGTATTTTAAGTGTGTGTGCATACACATATGAACACACACTCGGAGAGAGTTGTATTTAAAGCAGGAGTTAGGTTTTTTAAAGCCTTGTTTTGTCAAGATTGAAGAGACCCCAACATCTTTTTTAAAAGCCTTTCAACTTCCTTACTTGAATAGCTATCTACTTGATCTGTTGACATCTCTCTATTTCAACATCCACTCAGCTATGTTTGTTTAACAGAGATAGATACCATTTTAAGTAATTCCATCTGTCCGTCTATCCATCCATCTGTCTATCTAGTGACATAGAAACACTGGTAAAAGGCACACTATTGCTATTGGAAAGCATCTGTTCTTAAGGAATGTAGACAGTAAATGTTTGCTCCGAAAAAATGGGTGCGAATGTCACCCGGAACATCCAAAAGGACAAACCCTCCTCTGTCCTCTCAGTGCTTGGGACACTTTGTGGAATTCCCTAGCTGAAGCTGAGTCGCAGTTACATTTTCTGATCTGGCAGCAACGCCCTCTCAGCCCCTTCCCCCGCCACCCAGACAGGGAGAGAAGATGAAACTAGCTTACCTGTTCAGCTGCTTCAGGGTCTATTTGACTCTGAAATAACGGCACAGCAAACTGTATCTTTTTGGGGCTGTTTGGCTCCATGGCAGCAATCAGGACGCAGAAGAGAAAAGAGCCCCGAACTGCCTGAGAGGAGAAGCAGACAGTTGTTCCCGCGATTATCCTCTGGCACGCTCCCTGAAGCTGCGCCAAGCGGTCCTTAATAACAGCAGTTAATTCCCCGAGTTAGCAAGCAGAGCTGCCTGGGCTGAGAAACTCCCCGATTCCACATCCACGGCAATGCCTCTGGCTGGAGCCACTACTGTATTCCTCCTCCGGCCCTTCAAATCTTCGCCGCACGGAGCTGGAAGGAACAATAAGCTAATTGTGCACCGATTCCCTTCTGCATATGCCAAGCGTTCACTCAGAAGCTAATTGAAAATGCAATACTAGCCTGGCTTGGCCTGGTGCCCTGGGATTTGAAAGAGAGGATCTCTCCGCTGTACATTACTAGCTGGCTGCACCAAAGTGCCGGGTAAGCGCCCTTCGGAGTCTTGCTGATGGCTCGTGAATTATTGATAGGCACAGAGATCAGGATGTTTTCAGGTCGGAGGTGTGGAGGTGGCCAGCCCTGGGAGCAGGTGGGGTGTAGTCAGCCAGCCCCCTTAGAAGTGTTCACAGAACCCCCTCTTTTTGCATCCTCACCTAGTTGGACTGCCAGTTCTTCTGGGCTGAATTTTACTGCTTGCACCTCCGAATTCCAGCTCCCAAACTACAGAGCAACGAAGAAAACTTTTGACCAGAGATGTCTTTTTGGTTATTTCCCTACTTTTATATATAGATAGGGTTGCAGGTGGCGCTGTGGGTTAAACCACAGAGCCTAGGGCTTGCTGATCAGAAGGTCAGCGGTTCGAATCCCCGTGATGGGGTGAGCTCCCGTTGCTCGGTCCCTGCTCCTGCCAACCTAGCAGTTCGAAAGCAAGTCAGTGCAAGTAGATAAATAGGTACCACTTCAGCAGGAAAGTAAACAGCGTTTCCGTGCGCTGCTCTGATTCGCCAGAAGCGGCTTAGGCATGCTGGCCATATGACCCAGAAGCTGTATGCCAGTTCCCTCGGCCAGTAAAGCGAGATGAGCACCACAACCCCAGAGTTGTCCGTGACTGGACCTAACGGTCAGGGGTCCCTTTACCTGGGAAGGAGCCTATCTAGGAGAACTGTGATCCTAAACCTCCACAGGATATCTTTGGGAGAGGAAAAGGCTAAGAAGTAAACCTTACACAAATCCCTAAGATGGTGGGATGGTGCCTTGTACACTTCCTCCCAGCAACTCCTGCAGCCAAGCTGGTGTCAAACTTATTGCTCTGCTTTCCTTTGGACCACATCAGTGAGTCTGAGAGGGGGGGCTCTTATCATCTCAGCAGCCAAGGACCTTTGTGGCAGCTAGACTGGTGACTGGGAGTGGCCGCTGAGACCATATAACACCAGTCCTGAAAGACCTACATTGGCCCCCAGTACATTTCTGAGTTCAATTCAAAGTGTTGGTGCTGACCTTTAAAGCCCTAAACAGCCTCGGCCCAGTATAGCTGAAGGAGCATCTCCACCCCCATCGTTCAGCCCGGACGCTGAGGTCCAGCACCAAGAGCCTACTGGAGGTTCCCTCACCGTGAGAAGTGAGGATACAGGGAACCAGGCAGAGGGCCTTCTTGGTAGTGGCGCCCGCCCTGTGGAATGCCCTCCCATCAGAAGTCAAGGAAACAAACAACTATCTGACTTTTAGAAGACATCTGAAGGCAGCCCTGTTTAGGGAAGTTTTTAATGTTTGATGTTTTATCGTGTTTTTAATATTCTGTTGGGAGCTGCCCAGATTGGCTGGAGAAACCCAGCCAGAAGGTCGGGGTATAATGCAGTGATTTGACTTCAGCCCAGAGACACATTCCCTTGTCTCTCGAGACAGATGTATACCAACAACAATATATTTAAAGCATGCATTGCTTTTGTTGTTGCTGTTGTTTCAGCTGTCATTTAAAGGTGGGCACTCTGCTCAGAGACACCAGGTCACAATCCATCCACTTGCCTCTTGACAAGGTGTCACTAGGGTGCAGTGACACCCTAGTCTCCTTGCACGCATATTGCTTACTGGTGTCCAAAACCCGCTCCTGCATCTGTTCTCCCACTCAACACGCACACAAGTGCCCCGTCAACATCACGTCACAAGGGGTTATTTCTTCAGAAATACTCACCGCCTCCTTTGAGATAGCAAGGAAGGTGGTTAGAAAATGGCAAAACGATAGACTCCCCCATTGCTGAAAGTTCAATATGCTTCAATTGTGTTTTTTTAAAAAAAAATCATTTTTTTTATTTTACAAATATAGGTTTATAACAATACCAAATACATATCCATATAAAGAGATTTCTCTGAATCTTGCGACTTCCCCTCATCCCTTCCATGGGTCCTAATGTGAACATTTCATCTGCATATTATTTCATAATCTATATTTTATATTCAGCCATATTATCTATAGTACCTGTTACATTACAAGTGAGATTAAAATCCTGTTTTCCTCTGCTTACACTGGTCTCCTAAGTAAAATATAAATTTTTCCCATTCTTTTAAAAAATTTTGTCCTCTTTGTTCCTGAGCTTTCCAGTCAGCTTTGCCATTGCAGCGTAGTCCATCAGCTTAGTTTGCCATTCCTCTCTGGTAGGGACTCTTCTTTCCATCTCTGGGCTAGTAGCATCCGTGCGACCGTTGTCGTGTACATAAAAAGTATTTTCTGTTCCTTTGGTATGTCGGTACCTAAAATTCCTAATAGAAGTGCTTCTGGGTTTTTTAACAAAAGTTATTTTCAACATTTTTTTCAATTCATTATATATCTCCCAGAAAGCTTTAATTATCTTACACAACCACCACATACTATAAAAGGTACCTTCTATCACTTTACCAGCTTCCTGTGTTTCTATCCTGGTCTACTTAAAGGCTAAGGGCTGGGGAAATCTGTTCATTTCAGTTTCTCTCAGACCCCAGCTGCACTGTACCACATTAAATAGTCACGGCTTCCACCAAAGAATCCTATAGTTTGTTAAGGGTGCTGAGAGTTGTTTAGACAGGCCCTACTTACCTCACAGAACTACAATTCCCAGAATTCCCTGAGAAGAGGGACGCACTGTTAAACCACTCTGAGAAATGCATAATTATTATTTTTTGCATGCAACTTTGACTAATATTTTTGCCAGCCGTTTCCCCTAATATACTGCATTTTTGTAGGAATGCAAAATCATTTTCAGGAATGCACACATTCCTCTTTGCATCTCCCCAAGATATGCATTTGGGGGGGGGGGGTGTGACTATGTTGCAAAATTTGGAGGTGGATCTGAAGAATACTTGTGTCGGTTTGGGAAAAGTGACTTTGGTAGGTTCTCGTTAAAATGCAAAACAATTTTATTCCCTATCTATATTTAATGTTGGCTGATTCCTACCTGATTGACACCTACAACTGCTGTCCTCCAGTGAGCTCTGTGCTTACAAAGTTAATCACAAATCGTTTGTGGGATGCTTTTACAGCCTGAGAAGTTGCTTTTCTAGAGAGGCAAAAGAGAGAGAGGCTGCTTCCAATCCCAATCCAAAGGCTTGTTGTATGTAATTTAGAAGGAATTAAAAGGGGATTAGAAAATTCATGGAGGGCAAAGCTATTAAAGGCATCACTACCTACAGAATTCAATGAGGCATGTTTCTGAATACCGGTCATTTGGAGGCTGGGAGTGACAATGGGAACAGGCTATTGCCCTTGTGTCTGCTTGCTGGTTCCCAAGAGGCATCTGGTTAGCAAATATGCTGCTAGCCTAGAGAGACCATTGGTCTGATCCCGCAAGGCACTTCTTATGTTTAAGAACAAAATATTGGAGGAATTTCGAGGAGAGGAAAGAAGAGTTTTGTTGGGACATTCCTGCACTCAGCATTGCTCACCATAGCTGCCAACTCCTTGGGGGCCTGAGCACCCACAAAATTCTGCATGAAGGGTCTGGGCACCCACAAATTTTGTTGCCAGGGCCATGCACTCTGCATGGCACCCATGTGCCTGGGCACTCACAGCTATGAGGCAAAGTTGGTACTCCTGTTGCTCACTCATTGTTGGCAAGTAGGGTCATTCCAGTGGCAGCAGAACTGGTGAGATGGCGGTGTCTCAGGTGGAAATGTTGCAAGTCTATTAGAAACCACGTGAAGACTTGTGATTTAAATTTAGTACAACAACAAAAGCCAGACTGGTTTGTGTGTTTTTTAAAGTCTGTCCTTGTTTAGTAGTTGTACCTTGATCTTCCTTTTTGCAGCTCTTAATTTGCTTGACTTGTGTCATTATATTTCACCTGAGTTTGATAAATCAGGCATCCATCAATAGATTTCACTTTAAGGAGTAGGATGTGTGCCAGAACCAGGGGTGGATTTCAGAGGGCAGGGAGGATAGAGAAAGGAGAAGAAGTGTGGCCAGATGTGTCTGCCTGCCTGCTTGTTTATCTATGTCTAGATATCTAGCTATATCTACAGACAGACAGATGTAATCCTTAATATAAAAGTGCAAAAATTAAATATCCATCGTTCCATCAAACCAAGCAAATCATGGCAATTCTCCTTAGGTGCAATCCCCTCTTGCACACAAGACCAGCTGCCTCCTCACACCTTTTCCACCCTGCACCCAGTTATAAAGCCGCCATCCCCTCTGATTCTGCAGTCCCTTTTGTACCCACGCTTTCATCTTCATCTTTCTGGTCCAAATGGCATCCCAAAATCCAGCCCTAGCAACCGCTTTCAGCATTGAGGTTCCTCAAATGAAGCAGGGGTAGCTGTGGTGCCCTTCAGATGCTGATGGACTTCCAAATCCCATCAACCCCAGCCAGGAGGGCCAAAGGGCAAGGTTGATGGGACATCTTTTGGAATACATGTGGACTACAGCATCAGGAGGGCACGATGCTGACTATCCCTGAAGTTGAGGCACAATAAAGAACTGAAAAGAGCCTTTCCTTTCCCAGCGAGAAGCCCCAGCTTGGCCTCGGAGTTAAAAGGCAATCTTGCAAGACTGAAGACCCTGAGAAGCTCTAATGGCCTTCACCATCTGTACTGCACACGTAACTTGAACGTTTAAATTAAAAATTGGTTTCTCTTGATACTTTACCCATGAGAGAGGCAATATGTAAACATTTGATTTACAGATAGGCATTTCTTTCTGCTCTTCGTAGAAATTGCAAAGCCTGCTTATAGGAAATGAGATAGATTAAAGATGCATAACCTTATTATAAATTGCAAACACTGCTGTCTTCTTAAAGCTACATACGGTTCAATAGAAGAGATAAATGTTTGGCTAGCTAACACCCAGTCCATAAACACAATTACGTGGAAGGAAGCTCAATTGATTTCATTGAGCTTAGATCAGAATTCTGCTCTAGTGTATTTAATCAGAAAATCAAGTATTTAGGGCTTTTGCAATGATTGAAAATCAGTTGAGTTTCCAGGAACCTGCGTTTGTGATATGAAGATTTAGCAGCATTA